CTCCCGGGACAGGGCTCGTCGGCTCACAGGTGGAGGAGAGTCAGCACGTCGCCTGACCGGATCTCTGGACAGAGAGCGGGTAATGCTCGGTTCGCAAGAGGCATTTCTGCGGCCAGTTGATCCGCGGGAGAAAGACGAAGCAGTAGCGCCTCGCGCGGGGGAATCTGCACGCCGTCGGGGGGCTTCTCTCGAGACAGCCCGTCGACGACCCGGTCCCACCGAACCAGCCCGCCGTTCAGCAGGTTCTCGCGAGGCAGACCGACGGCCACCGCTGGACTCCGAGGGCCCTCGGGACGAAGCTCGCATGTAAGCCACCTCGCCAATGCCTGGACCTCGAGAAGAAGGCCGGGAAGGGAGCCTGGTAGCACTGCTGCCAGACTCGGGTCTCTCGATGGTTGGGTCTGCAGCCTCGTCTGAACTTGGAGGTTCAGAGGTTGACGGAATCAGAGGCGTAGTGTGGACGTGCCCCTCCAACCGGTCAACCAAGCCCGCAAGGTCGACCTGCCTCTCATGACTGTGGGAAATGGCAGACTCGATCTGTCGTGCGATGGGGGTGTTGTCCATGGGCGTGGCATTGTTGCTCTCGGAGAGCTCATTGTACTTTTCCACCACAGGGCTCAGAATGGAGATGGCCGAAGCCGGTTGGCTCTTGTTTGGAGGGACCGAGGTCTGGATCTGCGGAAGCCGTGGGGGCCCCGGGTGTTTCTCTGGAAAGACTGCCCGCGTGAAGAAAGTGCTGACGTCGTCATATACCGGCGACTGGCTATGAATGATGGGCGAGTCTACTCGGAATGGCTCGATTGCGGGTCTTGGTTCCGCCACAATGACTTCGTCGATATTGCTGATGATGCCGGGGCGAACGGGGCGTGACTCTGCGGTTACCACCTTCTCTACCACCCGGGCCGGCTGGGTTTGGTGCAGGGGTTGACTGTTCGTCGACGACGACCTTCGGTGGGACTTCCGGCTCCACAGCAAAGGAATTGTGATGGTGATTGTGCCCCGTTCCTTCTGGATGAGCGGCGGCGACTGCTGTGGGATTGTTTCGACGCTGCCCCGTTCGATCTCGTCCTTGAAACTCAAGTCGGGGGATGTGTTGACGAGGGTTTTCTGCGAGTCGGGGCTGCCGTGAGCCTGGTAGGCGACGTTGTTCATGTCGTCGTCTAGGTAATGCTGGGTCCATCCACCGTTGGGAGCCGTGATTGCCACATCGCCCCATCGAGCATGGAGTTGCTTCGTGGACTCTGATCGGGACCTCGACGGTCGACGCCGGGACGACATGAGTCCTTCGAGCACACCCGCCATGGTCGGCTCGATCGACAGGTATTAGTGTGAGAGACGAGAACAGGGACCTCAGACCGGGTCGAGGGTCAAGCTGACGGTTGGGGCCGTTGTATGAGGAGACGCTTTGCGTCAAAATGAAAGGCCTGAGCGAAAAGCACAGGATGTAGTTGTTTGAAAATGCCCGTGAGACGGAGGCTGTGGTGGGAGAGGCCACACGACGAGGCGCCTATCCCAAGAGAAGAAGAGAAAGAAATATACTGATGAAACCCTCACAGGAAAGGAAAAACCAGAAACCAAATGCTTTTTCTTTTTGATTCACCCTGACAGATTATGAAACTTTGTTGATCCGAAAGGACTTGTGTGAACGGAGGAGGGGGGGTTTGTACAGAGAAGGACGCAGAGCGGTCGAGTAGAAATATAGGGCAGCCAAAGGACAGGACAGGATAGGTAGTACTCCTCGGTACTCACCGTTGTGTTTATTTTTGCTTGTGGTGAATGGTGCCTTGCCCGAAAAGAGCTGCAGACGTGGTACAAAACAATAATAGAAGAGAGGCTCTGGACTTTTGGCTTTGTCGCCTGATGCTCGTGTTAGCTAGCCGATGGCATCCAACAGAACAGGGCCCTTGAGGTTAGCGAAGCCAGATACAGGCTCGCAAATGCACAGTTGTCGTTCCCCACGCGAACAGACATGTCCAAGGTCGCTGGCAGCCGGCCGCCACAGAGGTCTCTGGGCCTGTGAGCGTTTGGAAGTCCAAGAAGATTGGACGACGGGGAAAGATGAGACAGATCGGATGCAAGGGGCTGTTGAGGCACTGCGAGCGTATAAGCGCCAGATGTGGAGGAGTGTGACAAAGAGTGGAGATTAGTGGAGATGATATCGTCCTCTAGAGGCATGATCCTGGCGCTTCTATTGGCCTATGTCTATTTTTATTCTGTCCAATCATAACCATAATATCCGGCTCCACTACAGCCGAGGAGTCCAGCCTTACGAGCTGCCACCTTCTGTGGTTGTTACTCGCACATGCAAGCCCCTTTCGACTCATCCAGACCAAGGTTTTCGGACCAACTACAGCTGCTGGATCGATTGCCGCGGAAGACTGTCTTCAGATCCGCATAACCTGTGGCGTGGAATGACACAATCGGGGCTGCACGTCACCAGCTAAACTATCCGATTATGGGCCACACACGAACGGAAGAGGGTTGAAGAAGCATTAATTGGCAAGAGACCTCAGAGAAGATACTTTCGCAACGAACACGAAAGGGTCCATTTTGCATTTTAATTGGAGCTGTTGCACACCCCTGTGCGTAGAGGGTATATATCATCGGACGATTCTTCAGCTCCCACAGCTCGCATGGTTGCTCATTTCGTCGCCTCCCCGGCCCACTGAGTTTTTGTTTTCTGCTTCTCAGGATCGAGCTGGAAAACCCCGACATCAGACTCTCACATCCAGAGTTTTGAAACAGCACATGACTTACAGCTGACCGGTGGTTGCCTCCACTGGCAGAAGTCTGGAGCTTCTCCAATAGTGTGCCCGCGGGATAGTCGTCGTAGTCGATATCCAAATAACCACGGGGTGCGTAACTCCGAGGAACGATTGCAAATGCTCGACCTAAGACCTCGCTATCAGTTATCCACTCGCATAGAGGATGCCGCCCGCTTACCATTGACTTTGGGATCAGACACAATTCTCAATGCACATTGGCCAGCGTCTTCGACCGTGGCAAAATTGATGCCCGAATTCATGAGATGGTTGACGACTGCCTTGCTCAGAATCTTGGTTTCGACAAACCTGGATTGGCTCCATTAGCATGAATATGCCTCGACGATCTCCTTGACCGTACCAGGGTCCAATATATGCAACTCGAATATTGTGTACGTGTTCCGTCTTGCGAAGAGCCCTCATCATGCCGCGGAGGCCAAACTTGGATGCACTGTATTGGATGGCGCCCGATAGGTCGAGATAGCCTGCGAGACTGCCCTGTAATATGAGAACCTGGTCGAGGGGAGCTCCTTTGTTCAAAGCATTCTGTCGGCGGAAGTAGTGAAGCGCCAGCTTGACGGTATACATGACACCAGTGAGATTGACATCAAGGATGTTGAGCTTTGGTTCTTCAGGCTCCTCGGCTTCGACTGGACAAGTCCATCAGATTTTATCCAGCTCAATTACCCCAGTCACATACCGTTGTTGAAAAAGACCGAATCAGCGCCGCTGATGCCAGCATTGGCAATGACAATGTCCACTCGGCCAGAGGGTGAAGCCGAAAGTGCAGTTTTGAAGACGGCCAATTGATCAGCCCAGACGGTAACGTTGCACTTGACGAACTTGACAGAGCTGCGAACGGAAAGTTAATGGGTGATGCACAAGATGAGAAGACCATATTTGGATACTGACCTGCCCAACTCCTTTTCCAGCCTCGCGCCTTCTTCGGCGTCAAGGTCTGCGATGACGGCAAAGGCCCTACACTTCCATCAATATCTGGCCATTTGGTACATTGAGAGCTCGCTCATACCCGGCGCTGGTCAAAGCACGGACATATGCCTCACCGATGCCATTGGCTCCTGAACAAGGATATTAGAAAGGACTCTAGCATGGTGTCTCTATTGCGTCAAGCGTACCGCCGGTGATGACGGCAGTCTTGCCCTTGACATTGCTTGTGTCAATATCCACGTTACAATTGACGGGCCCGGTATTCGTATACGGCTCCATGGCGACAGGCTTGATCCGACAGTTAAAGGATAGGTAGTAGAATGAGAAGCGTCACCTCTGGGGATCCGTTTGGTGGCGTGGGGACAACGTCAAACTCTTGATAGACACAAGAACCTCGCTCAGCTTGAAGGATTTGGGAAATGTTCCAATCTGTCGCTGCGCGTTCTATATATCTCTCCACAGCAAAAAGACTGTCGTCAGCTTACCAGAGAAGGGTACGATAACCTCGGCAGATTCCTGTCGAACGAGCGCAACAGACTTGGCTTGAGCATTTTCGAGTTATACGCAGGCAGCGGGGAAAGCAACATATGTTCGACAGCACAAGTGGGTCGGTTAGTTTTCGTTCTCGTATCGCGTGTCGTTGAGTTTAGTCATAGCCCTGGTTCAAGCCCGAAACAAGAAAATTCCCGGACCCGTAGGGTGAAGGGTGTGTGCCTTCTGACTGCCCTCGTACATGGCAGGACAAGTAATGGGCAATAACTCTGTCTGGCAAGTCCTGCGGGAATCGCAGTGAAGTGAGGCATCCCAGGTGGGGCCAAAGGACTTGTGCGTGAAAAGCGGCTGCTATGCAGGGCTCGTCGCGTATGAAACTACCTGCTTATGGAAGCGACTTGCTGACACGAGGTGCACGAGGAAGTTGCTAAATTATATTGGGGTTGGTTTCCTTTGAGGCAGCATGTGGGAGATACGTAGGTAATCAATGTTCGACGACGGATGAAATGATGCGATTGGGGTAGGAGAATGGGCAGTTGGCAGTACTCGTAGGTACGTGCTGTGGTGAAGGTGGACGACGACGGAATCTCCGCATCTGAATCCTTCAACCCACCCCCACAGCCTTGTCAACTTTTTTTCCCCTCTCCGCACAAACTGCGCACCGCGCCTCGTACCTCGTATACGCCCCTAATAAGGCACCAAGGTACACACTCTTGATTACAACCAAGCTGACCGAATGGACAATTGAACCCCCCATTTCAGCCTTTCTCCTATAAATCATTTCGACGACATACTAGAATGCCTCTCCTATCCTCGACCCTCCTCCTGCGCACCCACTCCCTCACCCTCCTCACGTGCGCCTACTACCTCCTGACCTCGCCTGCCCAACTGCTGTCCTCGACCCCGATATGGCTTCTTGGGGAGAGCATGAGCGTCCGGCCCGCGGGGTACGCACCGGAGACGAGCCCGCATGACGCCTCCGCCTCACTCGGTGCAAGAGCAGGCAGTAGCGGGCGGACGAGCACGAACCCCGGCAAACATTTGACGGGGTTGCTATCGACACAGGCTCATGGGATCTCCCACTCGGAGCGAGAACTGTTCGCGCTCCTGGCGCTGGTGGTGGTAGCCTACGCGGTGACACAGTTCCTCTTTGCGGGAGACTTGTCCATGTCGCAGCAGGGCCCTGGTGCTGGTGCTGGTGCTGGTGGTGCTGCTTCTTCCAATGCCTCTGCACCCCCTTCGTCACTGGCCACGCGCCTCGACCCCTCCGCGAAATCACCCTCGCGCCACGCCGAAGAGCTGCACACTCTCCTGACGGCGCAGTCGCGCTGGCTCACACTCTCGGCGATCCACGTGTTGGCGTCGTCAACTCTCGTGTTCTGGATCTACATGTTCCACTCGCATTCAGCCTCCTCCGCACCGGTGTCTTCAACCTTCCCCTCAGACAGCGGGACCTCGCTGCTCTCAGGACTGAATTTACTGCCGAATCGAGTCGTCTTCACGATCGGGCTCGCTGATATGCTGTTCTGGGGTTATTTGTGGACAGTGCTAAAGGAGGAGGGCCGCGAAGTTGCAAAAGTGTTGGCCAGGTGGCGCAGACAGGCCGAAGATGATGAGTGAACAGAAACACTCTGCCTGTTGAGAGATGCGGCGAGGATAAAAAGAAAATCATAGCTTGAGCTGGTGGTCATGAATGGTACATTACACATATCTCTTTCCTGTGTGGTGGCGATGCTAATGAGATTCTAGTGCATATTCCACTAGATGACATGTGCTAGATCGAAGGAAATCTCCCTGTCTAGCCGCATTACATCTCGAACTATTTCCCTCGCCTCTGGCTTGGGAATCTGCTCCTACAACATGGCTGCCAAACCCAACATCCCAGCTCCAATGGCACCAAAGCCAATTGCCACTTGATTCGCAGCACCCGTGGGGCTGGCAGTCGCCGACGAGACTTGACTGACACTGCCTGTGGCGGAAGAGGCAGCCGCGCTGGCACTGGAAGCGGCGGAGACGGCGGACGCGGAGACACTGCTCAGCGAAGAGGAAACGCTGGCGCTGGCGCTGGAGGCTGAAGCAGAGGCAGAGGAAACACTAGCATCGCTGGAGCTGCCGGCGGCGCCAGAGCCGGAAGCCGAAGAGGTGGTGGTGCCGGTCGAAGTCGTTGTTGAGGTGCAGGTTGCCGACGCAGGCTGTTGAGAATAAATGGTTCAGTGAGACAATTCTAATGTCATAATATACTCGTGTGGCAGACGAAAGTCACGACACCCAGGCGAACCGCAATGGAGAGCAATAGAGGGAATCCAAACATACCAAAAGTGAAGAAGCGCCGACAGGGTCACAGATGCTGTGCGCATAAGCCAGAGCGGCCGTTTGATCTGTAGGATCACACGCCTCAAAGACGCAGCAGGCGATGCCGTTGAGGAAGGACGCGGTGTTGCAGATACCTATTGATATGAATTTGGTGTGAGCCACTGCTACCGAGTCCCTTCCTCTCTTTTTCCTGCTCTGACTCTTGCACCGTCGGGATCAACTAGCTCAAAGAGAGGGAGGACTAACATGTTGGATTGCCGTTGCAGCTGGCGGGGAGGAGACTGCTCACGCAGTCGGTAGCACCTGTACGAGTATTCGAGAATGGTCAGCCCACCGGTCCATTGACACAAATTCACCAAACCCCGCGTGCGCGCTCTCTCGACTTTGCGATCTGCAATCCTTTCACGGCATTGATCCTGAAGCGCGCGGGGGAAAATATCATCACATCACAGATACGATACGGGGGTTTCGTAGGACGACGTACAGCTGGGAAGAGTCGGAGCCTGTTGCGCAGAGACAATACCCACCAGGAGGGTGGAGGCGGCAAGGATGCTGCTTAGCTGACGAAGCATGGTGGCTCTGGTGGCTGATAGGAATAGAGCTTTCCCCGCGATCTGGTGTGGGACACGAGGGACTCGTGGATGAGGGTGTTCGATGTTTGATGAGAAGGAGGATGGGACGGGAAAACGGGAAAAGAATGAGACAAAAGCTTGCGTTGCCAGAAGGGATAAATAAGAGGCAGCTTGGTCAGGTTTCTCGTTTGTACTCCCGTACCACTCACCTGCAATACCCTGCCTGCCCTGCCGAGTGCTTCTTTTGCTTCTACTCGGTACTAGTTTGGGGATCTAGAATGCTAGCTACCTACCTCGTATGTAATAGCTCTCTCCCTCCTCCCCCTAAGACGCCACGACGCCAAAAGCTAACAGCTTCCCTGGGGTGTGCCTGGGGAAAAAAAGTCTCTCTCCTCTTTCCGCATTATTGGGGTCGTCCCGGTAACACCCTTGCCGGCACGCACCATCGATGTTTCCCATTTTATGCATCAATACCAAGATCATGAGACCAAACCACCGCCTAGGTTCTACCTAATCTGACCTGTTCATACTGGCCTTCCGTCCTGATTTTTCCTTGCGACGAGACGAGACATCGACGAGGGTGTGTCGTCGACTGAGGGGAACACAGATCCGAAAACACCCAAAACGCGTCATCCGCGGTCAAGGGATGAGCTGGTGGCTGCGCCACCTAGCACCGAGATTGGTTCTTGCGAGGAATGTATTACCTCGTATACGCAAGCCAAGCACAAATCGTGGGAAACGAGATCCCCAATCGCACCCGAGATAGTGAAGGGATACGGGGTGACTGGTTGCAGGCCTGGTTATCTATCGTGATTGCATCGATCGAGCAAGGCTGCAGGCAAGATCAACGCGAGGCTGAGCATCACGACGGATCAGATATTGGATACTTATGTACACATTCACATATTTACACAAGAAACCAAGTCTTCATTGCGCTATTGCGTCGTCATCAAACATTACACACACCGGCTTGTCACACTTTCTTCCCCCCCTTTTACCGTGTCATCCGCTCCAAGTCTCGCTGGTGCCATCTTTCTCCCTGGCGACACTGTCATGTGCAATACGGCACGAACAAGAAATAACATCTTCCCCATATCCCACACCCCACAAACAATAAACCGATGTTCTCATCGGCGTCCTCATCCCGTATTCGTGCTTGCCTCAAGGAGATCCAATCCCATCGCATCAAGACATTTACACATCGCTCTTTGGAGACATTCTCGTGACTTTTCCCCCGTCCTGTATAACTCCACCGACCCCGCGAACCACTTCCCTCTAACATGTTCAGATGATATTAATCGTATATGTAAAATCACTGGCGAACCAATACCCGTTCATATGGTCCAGTCGCTCGACGTAGTTGTTCATCTCGGCCTCGCCTTTCATGACACTCCGAAACCGGTCCCAATTGGCCTGGTCATACCGGCTCACGTCAAAGGCTCCGATCCTCCTGAATTCGCCTTTTTTCATGGTCGCACACAGGAGCAATCCCTCGACCCGATCAACAACGTCGATGACTGGCAAGAGATAGATCTCGAGCATCTCGCAAAGCATCCCACTGCCCGCGTCGGACAGTTTTGGCAGGCGGTCGTCAAAGGCTGCTTTCTCGATTTCGACCTGAGCCTTGGTACATTGGATCACACAGGGCGTAGAACCCCAGTAATCCCGCGTGCGTCTCAGCAGCCCTCTTGCCAGGAACCCTCTAACCTTCATCCTGCCGCCTTGCACAAAGCCGAAATTGTCCCCGGATGGACTGTATTTCATGTCGATCTCGATGATTTCAATGCAAGTCTCTCGTGCCGAGGATGCCGGTTCAGGGTACTTTACTTCGCCGTCGATGGACGTCCATGCCCATGTTGGGGCTCTGTACTTCGTCGGCCGCCTTCCGCCCTCTACTCGCCAGAGCAGCGCGTGTGGTAATTGCGGCTTCCAGAGCCCAACCAGGTAGTCGTCGGTATGCAATCTGTTCTTTGCCATGTACTGCTTCGCCAGGCCCTGCATGGCCAACAGTTTGTCGCTAGAGTACGTCAACTTCTTGGGGGAATACATTTTCACCAGCTGATGCCAATTGCCGTGCCTCTGGTGATGGATCTTCTTGCTGAAGAACTCGACACTTTCTTGGGACGAAGGCGGACCCATGGTGGCGGGAAGGCCCTTCGGAAATACCTCTGAACAACACATCTGTTGGCATTCCCAGAACAATTCATTGCGAGTGAAGTGCAGTGTACGTTTTGCAAGGCAGCGTTCCTGAAAAGCCCAAGCCCGCTTGTTGAGTGGTGATGAGTCGACCAAATCGTGCCATAGCGTGGAGCGTAGTATTTTGTACATCCCTTCGTCAATGCCCAAGCCAAAAGGAACGGGAACAATGCAGGGCTGTATTGACAATACGTTGCGACTGTAGATCAGTCCGCTGGCATCGTCCCTCGAGGATGTGGCGGCGATGTTGAGTGTGGCTTCTGAATAGACACGGTGCATCTGTCCCACCTCGGCCAACACGTCTGTTTCGCTGTCATGCCGAATGCACAGTGCGTCAATCCAGAGGTATCGGAAACCTAGCTTATCCGTCACAATGGCGGCTTCGGCAAATGTCTTTGGGAGATTTGCCACGCTGACGCCCTGCCTCAACGCTGCGAGGGTCCCTTTATGCAAACGAATCGTCTTGGACTTGCCCCAACAGTGGCTGAGGGTGACGTACTCGCTCAAGGGGTCCACGAACATGCCGTCCACAAGTTTGACTCCGTGAGCGCCCTTGGGGCCTCGGATCGAGACATCCAGCAGGTGTGTGGGCTTCCACGTCGCATCGGTGGCAGAGGACACGGAACATTTCATGTGGTTGAACGTACAGTCTTGGATCCACTGTTTGGCAAGATCGATACTTTCTGTCGACGCTGTACTCACCGATCTGGAGTCAATGGTCCGGACTCCAGGTTCGACGGCAACTATGACACCAGCAAGTTAGCAACCTCTGGGTATCTCAAATCAGAGGCAGAAAAGGGTCAAGGAAGCACCTACATCTCGGATGCATCAGAATCAACTCAACCACCAACCCCGTCGTTTGGTCCCAGCTCAACGAGAGACTCGCCTTCGAACCGCTACTGCTTGGAGTCGGTCCCCGGTTCTCCTTGTCCGCCTCCGACTTCGTTGGCTTCACATATCGGAACTTCAACCTCGCTTGGTCCCGGGCAATCGGGGATATCCAGACGAAGCCAACCGAATCAATTGCTAATCCTCTATTTCGAAAATTTCTATAGGCGTCTGGGTCGATGGACATAAAAACTGTCAAACAAAGATGGCATTTGCTGGCCAGAGATGCGAGTTCTTCCAAGCCATGATGCGGAATCTCGCCTGTGTCCAGTGATTTCGGCGTATCTGGCTTGAATATGGACTGGCACGCGGCGCAGAGCGTGCTGGGCGTTAATTCTGACATGATCGCGACGTTGTTGATCGATTATTATTGTGGTGACGTTTCCCGCTTCTGTCCCCCGGCATCTCGTCGATGATGTTTCGGTTTGGATGTTTCTCAACGGACGCAACGACTGTCCATGCTCTGGGTCGCACAAATCGATGCTCTAGACAACGGGACAACCTAGTCGGCAGTCTGGTTCAAAATATAGCGGATCATCAAAGAGGATTGTGATGTAGGCGTGTTTCTCCTGAGATCGTCGCCGCTGGAGCCGAGCACCAACCGAGCAACCTCTTAATTTCCGAATGCGGGCGGAACTCAGCGCCACGCGA